AGTGTTTTCTTCAACCACTTTGCGCCGTGGGATGATCGATCATTAAAGATTCTGAGATCAAGATGGCCAAGAGTGGGAATGCCCGTTTGCCTTTATGTTCCAATCATGACTTTGAGGAAGCTTGGGGGGAAGAATTTCGGAGAATTCCTACACTGTTGTTTTTAGAGAAGTTCCATGGAGATGTGTACGAGGTGCTTGGTATTGGGACGACTACGTTCAGGCATGGAGGAGACTCCTGCTGGGAAGCACTGGAGAGCAAGTTGTTCTAGCGGCGCATCATGGACTTTGGGTTGCTCAGAAGCATACCATCCTCGAGAGAGCCGACGAAGTCACGAAGTCAGCCTCGGCGACAGATGACAACGTCCAAAAGCTCGTATCCCTTATCGATGAAGTACAATTCGATGACAATGGAGAGCTGATCGAGGATTCCATCAGTGAGGAAACTTGGGACGAAATCATCTCCAGAACATGTGAAGGGTATCGCAACGTGGATGGCAATATTTTGTGTCCATCATGTATGCATTTGACTTCTTCATCTTTGTCCGTGTGTCTATCTTGTCAAGGCAGGCTACTCTCGTGTGGTATTCGCAACACTGTCATTTCCGATTCACCCGTTGATCTTGTGAGCGATGATGAAGAGGAAAAGAAGGGAGAGAAGGAGCCTGAAGATGATGATCAAGATATCTTGGACCAGGCCACTATGGACGAGATCAGAAAGGCTTGGGAAGAAGACATCGCTCAAACTGAAGCAGCTGACGACGACGAGGACATGGACAATCTAGATCCTTCCAAACCGTCTGATGGTGCAGAAAACTTCAAAAGTGACAATGTCGAGACCCCATCTTTCAATGAGGACGAGATCGACTACGGTCGTGATTCTGATCTAGAAGATGAAGACGAACGAAACGTGATCATCGAGATCCAGAGGAGCGCACAACAATATGAGGGGAAGAAACGTCAAGATGGTGAACCCGAGGATGAAGACGTCACCGACGACTTACATCCGGAGGCGAATCGACCGACAGATCGTGATGAACCGGGATACTATGCACAGCATGGAGCGACCGAGTTCAATCCCGAAGAAGGAAGAGACAACGAAGATCTCCCCATCTATTGTCGAGTACCGGAACCTCGAATCTATGCGCATCAAGAGAGAGCCTACTGTCAGGACGTCTCCATGAATGCATCGGGTTTGATGGATAGGTATGTGGTCAAATGTGTGCTGAACATGATCTCCCTGATGTACAAGAGCTACTATTGCACCAGCCTTACCGACTTCAAAGCAAATTGGAAAAGGAAGCGACTGGATGTGATAAGCAAGTTCGGTACAGGGGATTCCACTGAAATCGATGACGATGGGAGACCATTGGATCCAACAGATGACATGATGTTAATCTTTGCCAACGACAACAATATTACGACTGAGGAGGCCTGGCACCGATTCAGAGGAGAACAATTCATTTGCAAGGTGGCACTCGTGATCCTATCATTTGGTCATACTCCGCAATCCTTCAAGAGGGAATATGGCAACTTCGAACACTCCACCGACTTGACTGATGCCCAGCTTGAGGAGTTGAAAGCGAAGAAAGCCAGCGCAATGACTGAATTGGTACAGAAGTGCATCCATGCGATTTATGGGTGTCGGACATATTCTTACTTTAGAACCGACGTTACATCACCCTACCACAAGGTGATCGATCCTCTGGACATCATGTACTCGAGAATGAAGAGCAAGTGGGAGAAGTCTATTCTGTTGATCATTGATCAACATGAGATCAGGTTGCCCCCACAAGCTCAGGAAGTCATAGAGTCAATGGCCAGAAACCCCAACGTTGGACATACAGAGAGATGGATGAGCGTGGTAGAACATAAGCATGTTCAAGCTCTTACCAATCGTCTAGGCTTTGGAGATAGGGCCAAGGAGATTCAGGGCAAGAAGAAGCAGGCAGCCAAGGCAACAGCTAAGTCAACATCAACGACTAAGTCTGAAGCGAAAGCAGCATCTTCGTCAAGAGCTGAGGCAAAGCCAGCATCTACACCCAGAACCGAGGCCAAGCCGTCGTCAGCACCAAGTGAGGAGCCAAAACCTTCAACAGCACCTAAGAGTTTCGGGCCCTCATCAGCAGAGGAGAACAAGGCGAAGGCTGCTCCAAAAGCCAGACCACATGATAAATCACCATCCAGTGCTACCGATGTGTTTGAGCAAGCTTTGCAGGAAGATATTGCCGCCAACGCACATGCAGCAGAAGGTACAACTTCTTCATCATCCCGAGGACATTCCAAAGGAGGAGGCCAATCTGGAACATCTTGGAGGCCGGCGCTAACGCAAGAACGTCGCGAAGTACCTCAACCTTCTGAAAAGGGGAAGGGAAAGAGCAAGTCCAAGGGAAAGTCCAAGAAGGGAGAAGATGATCGGCGGGATGCTCAGGGCAGCTGGGATCATCGTGGATGGAGAGGTTATCGCCAGTGGTGATTTCTTTGAACGACTATGAGGATACCATGCAAACCAGGGAGGAAGTCATTCACCGGATGTCTATCTGACCTGAAACGCTGTAAGTGTATCATTGCAAATCATCGGATTGACGATTTGATACCATGAGCATAATGGAAGGCAGACAGTCACCGACTGTCTCTCCGACTTGCCGTTCTGTAAGTGTATCCAAATCAAAACCTACATCTTTTGAGAAGTGTGAAGTCAGTTGCCGATGTGACATCTACGTGGAAGTCACCAGTTCGGATCTACATCAAAGCGATGCTCTTTTGAGTGGATACTGAGCGAGGCCTCGTGACTGTCTCACTTGTTCAATTCGATTTTCATAGGTTCTGAGCCATAGTTGCACACTTTATATGTAAAAGTCCGCTTTAGTCCAGCATGTTTCGTAGTATGAGCCTCATATGAGTCTCGCGGCAAATCACACAATTTCTTTTGTAGCACTTACATCCCTAAATTTTCGTGTGTGATCGGAACATATTGTTGCCGTTCACATGGGGGGTGCGAATGGAAGTGCAGCGACACGTACAGTGCAACTTGTACATATATATGTACCATATGTACTTTGGCTCAAGGATCAAGCGACTAGAAAAGGTGCGGTTTCCGTTCCGACGCTACGCCGCTTATGGACCGTCAGTGATAGCTTCAAACTTCGCTGATTAAGATCCACTCGCAGAATATATATATATATATATCTAATATCTGTATATAGTTTCATGTCTTGAAGAATCCCCGCATTGGACAGAGAGTGCGCCGGCCTAGCCTGGCGAGCCAGCTGTGCACCCGGGGCGACCCATGGGATGTCACGTCGGTACCTTACGGATGCGTCCGAGTTCTCCCTATACAGGTACATATGTCGGTGCCTTTGGCCCCAGAATCAATGGACCTGAATCGGATGTTGCCACGGATTCAAATCCAAAGAACTTGAGTGAAGGTAAATCAGGTACCCACCTCTAAACGCGAGCTTTTGCCTGGCTGGCCACGAAGCCAGGGCTAAGTCGTCGCATGTAATCTTGTCCATGTCCAATGTGGGTGTGGGTCAAAACTAGGGAAGCAAACCAAAGGAAGTGGCGGCTCAGTTGTTTTTTCTGCAAGGTTGGGTGGGGGTCGACCCACACCCGATGTATTCCTTGCGCGATTGGAATCGCAATGCTTGATGATACTCTGCCTGAATCTGCATGCTGTTTGATGCAAATATATGTGAACCATGTGAGGAACAGAACCTTCACATCGGCCACTCTTGTACATGAACCGTCCGCAGAAGAAGGGAGAAAGATGCGACCGCCTTGGCATTGAGAATTATCAGAGGGGATGATGTGAGTGAGAAGCATCTACAAATCTGCTAGATCTGGCATTCAATATGACAAGTTTCAACCCAATAGGCACCTCCAAATAGCTCAAATAGCCTTTGCAGCAGGAACAGCAATTGGACACCTATTCGTGCAGGTTTCGTCATGATGAGACAGACTCAACAATTGTTTTGTTTGATAGTTCTTGGGGCTGCGTAATTTTGCTTCAATGATCTCCATGGCACTACAGGCAGTGTGTGTGGGGCAGTCAAACGACCTCCAAAGACGGCAAACAACGCGACAACGTGACAGGTACGGGCACATTTTGATGGATGACTATGCCAACAGTGTTTGCGCAGCATTGGAGGGAGTCGGCACCAAGGGAATCTGCAATCCCAAATAGATCAAGAGTGATCAAGTGTCACTGCTTTCGTCAGTGTACAAACATGACCCAAGAACTGAGGCTTGCTTGGGATGCCTTAGATAGTTGGATGAGACATTTGGAGTGTTCCTACTTAATCTTAGTTCTGTCACAGAGCAACTACTCCTGGTCAAAGACCGTATGGTCCAGCCATGTCTTTGGTCCGTCTCCGCCGTCTCCGGAGACGGTCTTTTCGACCGGTCCACCGGCTGAGCCGACCGGTCTTCTGTCTCTACTGGTCGCGTGCGGACCGAGAGAAGTGAAAACCCTTCCATTCTGGGGGGCGCCCGTAGCGTATCTATGCATACATATGTAAGCATATGTATGTATGCATATGTAAGCTGATGAAGCTGCGGATGGTCCTTGGCACATCCCAGTTGAAAGAGCGACTTGCATGAGATGGTGAGAACAATGGCGCTGTGGTGGTGAGTTAGGCTGTACTTGGGGAACTGGCTCGAATCATCCACTGTCCATCGTCCATCAACCCCTGTCCTAGGCTTAAGTTGTTATGCAAGTGCCCTTCTCACAAGGCCTAAATCCAATCAAAACCAACACAAGGGGTCTTCGGCGCATGAGCATACGAACAAGTCAAGTCCATTTGCAGGTCTGTTAGGCCTTCTGGGAGAAAGATCTACTGTATCTTGGAAGACTATATAGATGTGGACATGGATTTGGAGGTTGAGATGACAATACGTGGACATTGCTGTATATTGCTAAGGTGCTGACAAGGGTGCCGACAAGAGCCTTGTAGGGCAGATTGGTGCTTGCTTGAAATTCCCCTTGCAGCTCAGGCTATTTCATGCTTTCTGCCTTGGATGTGGCTTGGCAGGGCTAGACTGTGCAGTTCGAGGGGATGCTTTCCTTGTTTGCACTTGTTTGAGCGGAGCCGTTTCACCCCACAGACAGTCTTTTTGGTTTCGCACTTGGGCGAATTTCGGGTTCTTCCCAGAGTCAACCAGGCGGCAACTTGTCCAAGAGCTCTGACAGCTTGGACAACTTGTCCAGTCTGGCCTAGCAGTCTGTCACTCCTTGCTGGGACGTTTGTGTCAAGGCTGAGATGCGAGGGGATCGAAAAGAGATGGAGAAGCTGGCTCGGCAGGCGGGTAAGCAAGACGTTACTGTAGCGCCTCTAGCGGCTCTAGCAGTTACTGCGGATTGGGTAGATGTTTCTGTTGCCCCCTCATCCTTTTGGTTCCTTGTAGAGGCAGCCGATGGTACATGTTACATGTGCACGCTTGCCCATGACCACTCTCAGAATAATCGAGTCCTGCTCACTGGCCCTTGGACCAATTCTCGCCTTACACCCCATTATGCCGAATCTTCATGATTGTGCGTCACCAAATCCAGCACATGCGTGTCAACGAAGGGCAGTTCAATGACTTTCCGACTTTCGTCCGACAAGTCAAGAATGGATGGCCACGTCGATGATCCAGCACAGGTTTACGGGTTTACGTGGCATTTTGATCGCCTGCAGGGGCAGATTATTTCGCAGATCCATCAGCTGGCAGAGCCCATGCGACGGCCCCCACGCGACCTGGTGCGGGGGAGCGGACGAACATGGTTGTTGCTTGATCCGTTGTATTGGCTGGAAACATAATTTCATAAACCTAGAAGCAATGGCCTCCAACCTACTCGTACTAGCGATGGCCTCCAACCTACTAGGATAAGAACAACCATAAAGAAGGATTAAGGAAGAGCGTCCGATGATCCAGAGAGCAACTTCTTGAACTGCTTGCCTGATTAGCCCACTATCAAGGAGACTTGTCTTGAAATCACAGATTTGGATGACGGCCAGTGTCAATCATGTTCAAGCAGGTTGCAGATTGAGCACTGTCTTGGCATATCAGACATCCAATGTAGCGATGCCAGGCGCCCCTAGTAGCGTCCTTGCTCCTAGTAGTAGGCCAGGAGCCCCTAGTAGCGTCCTTGCTCGTAGTAGTAAGGCCAGGAGCCCCCAGTAGCATCCTTGCTCCTAGTAGTAAGGCCAGGAGCCCCTAGTAGCGTCCTTGCTCCTAGTAGTAAGGCCAGGAGCCCCTAGTA